GGCCCGCGACGGGCGGGTGCCGCGGCCAATCGACGCGCGAGCGGGGATCCCCGGGGCCAGTGGGAAGGCGAGGGGCGGGCAGGAAGCGCGGAGCCGGCCGGGGCGCGGTGTGAGGGCCGGAGGAGCCGGTGAGTAGGCGCGCGGCCTGCGGGGGGTGGGCTGCCCCTGCCCCTGCCCCTGCCCCTGCCCGGGGAGCCGCCATCATGCCAATGACGAATTTACATGCCATAAATGTAGCGTCAGGCCGGCCCCACGCGCGCGATTTCCTCACGGGCCGCGCCATAAATGTAGACCGGTTGCGTGCGTGGGGTGAGACCAGCCCCACGCGCCGAGGCGCGGTCGCGGGATTCCCTGGCGAATCCCCCCCGGAGGCCAGCCCCGCGTGCGGATTGCACCATAAACCGAGACGACCGCCGTGGTCCCGAAAGAGCCACAGTGCTTGAAAGCGTGGGCTTGGAAAGGTGCGACGCCGCTCGAGCGGGTTCGTCTGGACATGTCGTTTCTCGCTCTTTTTTTGCCTAGAGAAAACACCAGCGGGTTTGCTTGTTTGTTTTCCCTCGCCCCCCTTGCAAAGCCCTCAGAAAGCCCCAGCTGCGCAGACCGCATAAGCAGTGTTCGCACGCCTTGTGGTGCGGCTGCTGTGCCAAAGGGTCTTGAGACACCGCGGGTGGGATCACTGTGGCAGGGGAGTCCTGGCCACGTAGGGAGGGAGAGGGTCATTATGATGCGCGCGGTTCCTGCGATGATAATGGTGCGGCTCTGGAGGAACTGTGAGCGGCAGATGAACGATCGAGTTGGTCTTGGAAGCTGGAATGAAACTGAAAACGCTCTAACTTTCCACTCCCTTAGAAATCAGAGACGTCATGGATGTGACTGTCGGGACAGAGCAGGAAACCCAGCTGTGCAGCAACTGGTGAGAAATGAAAGTTAAGCACTCACTGCCACCAGCCGAGTGCGGGGTGTTGCAATCCCTCCACGCAGACTCAAGGGACTTGCCTTGTTGGCACTGGGCGCTGGTTGCTTACCAGCTTTTTCCTAACTCTTGTGAAGGGAAAGGAAACTTCCCTGTAAAATACTTGACTAAATGGGATATTTTGTTACCAATATTTTGTTACCATATTTTGTTCTTAGAAACACATTTTTGGGACACACTGATAAACTGCTGTAGATCATTAAGTAGAAATGTAACTGGTTGGGTGTGATAACTTGCAGTCATAAATGGAGACCAATTAATGCTATGGGCTGATTTCGACAGGTGAGATAACAGGAGAGCAGCATTTTCAAAGGTGTGCTCCAGCTGCTTTGGCAGGACATTTGGAGGGGCAGGGGGGGATGAGGTCAGTTGTAATGTATCAGTGGAGGGTTAGTTATTCAACGATGATCAGTGCTTGCCCTTGGCTTAGGTCCAGAGGATATGCAGGGTGGGTGCTGCTGGTAGTCTCCCCTTCTCAGGTCCAGCCTGAAAACAGGGAACAACCAGAATTTCAAAGTCTTACCCTTGTAGGGAGTAATCTTTAGAGCAGTAGGTATTTAAAACAGAATTGCAAGAAGCTGAAGCACATGTCGTATGTACACAGCATCACTTGGCTAGCTTCTCTGGTTGTTGGGTTCTTGGGAGCAGATGGAGGATGAGTATGAAGGGCTGCAGCTGTTTTTGGAGGCCTAGGTTTTTCATGTTGTGGCAGGCAAAGGCCTTTTATTAGCAATGAATAAGTTGCCCTTTTTGGGCTTATGAACTTGTTTCCTGTTAAGGGAAAAAGCTTGAATGTCTGGAGATGATGGTATTTCCTTGGGCTGAATCAGGGCTGAGTTTCAGGTGCTTTGCTTCTGGTTCTTTTTCAAACAAGTGGAGATGTATATATTTTAGTCTGTAAGTCTGTGTGTAGCTGAGGATGGAATACTTAGTTTTTCATAACTGAGTAAGTTGAAGATTTCTCCCTTCCAAACAGTATGGCTATATGGCAACTTGCATTGAGAGGTAGAGCTTATTGGCATATTTAGGGCCAAACTTGTGTGTCACTGCCTAGCACCATAATTGAGTGTTATAGACATGCCCTAAAAGACTTATCGCTTTTGCAGTGGCTTCCTGTTTCCAGACCTTTCTGATTCCTTAATTGTTCTGTTTGAATTTAATGACAAGTTCTGACGAGTAACATTTATGCATCTCTTACAGCAAAAAGGATGTTCCAGTGGCTAACTTCACCATCCATGAGATCCACTGCAGCAGAAACATTGAAGTATGTGGCTTCTGCAAGGAGTCGGTCCCCAAATCTGAAATGAAAAACCATGTTGAATCTAAACACGTGAAGGTGATAAAATAGAAACAAACAATTATCCTGTATAGCATTTCCTCTTCATGCAGTGATTTAACAACTGCCTGTGCTTATCCTAGGTTACCTGTAAATGTAATATGAAGATTGAAAAGAGTGACCTAGAAGATCATGAGGTTGGTGTATTTTTTGTTATTTGTTTGCACTTGGTAATAAACTAGTGTGTTTCTAGTACCAGTGCTAGAACCTTAATGTTGACCAGATCAGAAGGGCTGAGTTTACTGATCTTGCATCTGCTCTTTCCACTTAACATGTTTTCTAAAGTCATGCTATTCAGACACAGTGGGTGCATCTACATCTACACACACAATTAATGCAAAGGGATAAACTCTGGAGCTGCTTGAGCCAGGGTACACTGCTCCCAGGCACAGCATCTACACATGCACCCTGGACAGCAGCAATATGAGCCAGGGTGGAGCAGACCCAGGCTGACAGCAGGCTCAGGGGGTCAGCCTTGGGCACGAGCTGCCTAGCCACACAGCTCCACACTTTTGGCAGTCTTGCACCCAGTCAGCAGGAAGCCATTTATACCTGTAGTCACTGTCCACATGTGTGTTTCACTGCAATTCATTACTCTGCTGTAAGATAGTACTGTCCCCGACATGTCCCTCTAATACCAGCAAATGTGTAGATACTGAGGCTTTACTGTGGAGCTCATTAGTTTAGTCTGCATTAAAATTGAAATCTATGAAACATAAAAATGGATGGGACCTCCTGGGTTTATAGGGTACCATTTACAAGTGACTGAGTTCTACTATAGTAACTTGCTTTAGAGAGTTCTTTGTGATAGCTAATAAGACTTGTAATGAGGCATGGCGGATATCAGGGTAGCAAAGCAAAACACATTCCTTTTAGTTTGAACACCTGATCCATTCAGAACTCTTTCAAGCTTTTGTAGACGTTTATGTTGAAATATGATGTTGAATAAATGCATGCTTCTTTCCCCTTAAGGTATTTGTACGTGAAAAATAAGGTACTCTGAACTGCGTGTGCTACACAAAAGGCATGCCGTGTATACATACCCAGGAGCGTGGTTCCTGTATACATGTATGAAGTCTTGCATAACTGTTCTTTGCCAATAGGTGTTTGCATGAAGGTGGACTAAATCTGTTAGATTTGTTGTATAATAAATCACTTAGTAATAGCACAGTGAGTGGGCCACCTGCTTTATTTCTTGCAAGCCTCTTATAACTATCAGACTGCACATATCAAGGGTTTTTCACATTTATTTTTTAGGCATCATCATGCCCTCTGCGTCCTGCAGTTTGCCAGTACTGTGACATAGAGCTCACATTCAACAAGCTTCAGGACCACGAGGAGTACTGTGGAACTAGGACCGAAACATGCAGTGGGTGTGGCCGCAACATCATGGTAAAAGATCTGAAGTTGCACGCTGAAGTTTGTGGGAAAGAGGCTAAACAAAAGCACGTTAACAAAGCGAGAGCGCTCTTCAGCTGTGAGGATGAGGAAGCAGAGCCGTGCAGCTTTCAAAGCATCCGAAACATTCTGAGCCCGGACGACTACGTCAGGACTCTGTGGGGGATTCCCAGACCGCTGCAAAGTCCATTTTACAGCAGCTTTGGAAGAGATCAGCTATTTAAGGATATTAACACAAGAAACACATCAGCAATGTGGAGAGATCAGAATCGAGGTAAAATTTGGATAAGGCAGCAAAAAGTTTGAATTCAGAATGGCCTCTCATTCAACACTCCTAACTCAATGGTGTGAAAACTCCATGCCTCTGTACTGGATACAAATATCAGATGGGCAGAAAACTTCTAATGTAACATAGCCAGTGTTCGTTAAGGAATGCTGTTTTTACAGCTGCAGTTCTATGCCACAGTAAAACCTGTAAAGCAGATGATCACTGAAATATCCAAACAGATGTTCTGACAAACTATCCATTTTATTTAAAAATGGAATGGGTGTCCATGTTTTTCGCACTTGGTCCTTTTTTAGATAAGTCCCTCTTCCCTGCTTGACTTACATAAAAGGATTGGGGAAAATGATTCTGGTATTTCACATACCTGCTGCTCAGCAATGGCAACCTGTCTGGACATAGCTGAGATATATAAAGGCCTCTGCTCTTTCCACTTTAGCCCAAATTTCCTTCCTCGGTGTGTCTAGGGTCAAGTCTCTTACAATACGGTCTATCTCCAAGCAGTCTTTTAAACATATGCCCCACTTCATGTTCTAGGACACTGAAAGGACTTGCATTGCTGGACACTGAATAATGGCCCTTGTAGAAAACTGGCCTTGGGTGTTTTTATAATTATTTATTTTTAATCCAAAAATGCTGTTTTCTGGAGGTAGGCTACTAGTAAGCCTAATACTGAACTGTTTGGAAGGGGTGGTTGTTGAATTACAAAATTTTTCTCCCTGTGGAAGTTACAAATTTAAAACAAATCCGGATGACACGGTCAGTTCAGAAATAATGGCAGTCTTTGTCCCAAATGTGCCAGCTTGTGGGAGTTTTGCTTTTCTTAAGTCTCAGTCTTGTAGCATGCTGTCTTGCTTGGAACACTGTTGACTATAGTGGCATTTCCCATGTGAGTGAATATTGCATGCACTGGGAATCTGAATGATTCTTCCTGAGACACCAGCTTATTCATACATTATCTTCAGTAGCCTTTCTTTGTGGGACTGGTGGGAAGGTGGTTGACAAAAAACATGAGACTGAGAAGATCCATACAGTACATAATTAGATGGGGCCATGCTGATCTCCTTTAACCTTCTGCATAACACGGATCAGAACTTTTCCCCAGTAATTCCCACAAAAGGCTAATGTCTAGGTGATGTAGACACCTGAGTTTGATTTTTTTTTAAGAATTTCAAGTGGTGGAAAATCCACTAATTGAGTGTCATCTTCAGCCTTTCCTATCCTTTCTTCTGCAACCTTTCCCTGAAACCAGAGTGCTTGTTTGATGTGGGGCTCAATTCTGCCTGTGAGAACTTTGTTTCTCTGTCAGTTAAATTGATAGTGGATTAAAACACTAACTGCTATAAATTCAGCATTCTAATACTTCTGATATTTCTCTATTTAAGTGGCTGAGCGGGAGCAGCTACAGAGGAATCAAAATACTGAGTCTTCGCTTTCTGAAGAGCAGAATTCCAATTTTGACTATATGCTAGCTCTTAGCTTGCAAAGCGAGAATAATCCCCACGACACTACTTCCACTGAAATCCACAGTGACTTCTGGAAGAACTACTCCAAAGGGGCCAAGCCACCTGAGCATCTTAACAGAATAAACAAGTCCGATACTTTCCTGCATGAACCTTTGGTGTCTAACATTACAAATCACCTAAAAAGCAAGTATAACCCCTACCCACCCCAAGCTGTTGGGGAGCAGGGAGGCTTTTCAGACTAGATAGCATTCAGACTCCATCAACTGCTTTGATGTTACTTCTTCATCAGAGAGACCTTCTGTGAAACTGGCAGAAGAGCTATGCCTATTCTTGAGGCTTTTCCTTCCTTCTTTCTAAAATGTCTTGAGCTCTCCAAAATGTCTGATTATACTGGGTGCTAACAGAGCAATACCTCAGTTCTTAAATCTAAGAAACTGATGGGAAAAGGGGGGATAAGAATTAAGAGTGAGACTTAACATGGATAGCTGTCTGTCCAGGAGTCCCTTTTCATACAAAAACATTTTGGTAAGAGGATAGCTTACTAGAATCAGAAGGCAAAAGTGATGAGAGTTCAAAATAGTGCTTGAGCAGATCTAACTTGCTGTAATTCTTCCTTGGCTTAAAAAAACCCAAACAAACTTATTTCTGCTGCAGTTGAGTGGTTGAGAGAGTAATCGTGAAATATAGTCAGAGAGAGAATATGGGAGAGTAAAAAAGTCATTTGGCATTTCTAGAAGGAATGTTCTTGTTCCCTGAACTAGTTAGGTAATGTAGTAATGGGCATTTTACTAGACCAGAAAGCATGAGTTCTTTAGCCAAAATTTCTTTCCAAATTGTGGAATGCATGACCTTTTTTTTTTCTTCTTCTCCTGCTTGTAAAACTCCAGGGCAATATGAAGTGGGAATAACTATTCCCATGAGGCTTGCTGTAATTCCTCCTCTGGGGCACAGAACAGGATAAGTGTATAAATTAAAAAGTGATGACAGGTTAGTCTGCTTATGTTAGCTTTTTTATGGTGGAGTGATCACCCTTTTTACTCACATTGCAGATGATGATGTCATCATGTTGCCCTGTGAATTTTGTGAAGAGCTGTACCCTGAGGAAGATCTGATTCTCCATCAGGTTGGGTAACTTCTGTATTGTACTCAGTGCCTGCACTGGAGGGGATGGTAGTAGCATTTGTGCCTAAGTGAAACTCCTGTTTTTTTTTTTCCCCTTTTTTTGTTTTTTTTACATGAGGCTTTTGTGAAGTACTGGAATGCGTTTTCCTGTAACACTGAAGGCATACCACCTATGGAAATTTAGGACTAGAACTCGGTTAAGACTAATAGGAATGTCTCAAATGCTAATTTAAAATTTTAATCAGTATATTTCCATGCACTCTGCAGTCATATACTGAAGCCTTGTTTACATATGACACTCATTTGCTTTTATTTTTATCCATGTCAGAATAAACCGCATCAATTATAGAAAAAAATTATTTGCTAACAAGCTAAACTGAATTTTACAGTGGAGTAATAGATAGTTGCCTAATACGAGCTGTTGCTTTTGAATAGCTGAAGGGAAATAGAGTCTTTATGGTGGTCACTAAATGCTGTATTATTCCATGTTGGAAACAGAGAGTGAATGTGTGTTAAATATTGGGTGAGCTTTATGTTCTGCTTTAGCATGGTTTATAAAGCCTTTGTGTAGCAAATATGTATTGCTAACTCTTCAGTGTTGCCCACCTTACAGACAGGCTGCAGTCCTGCAAGTGCCTTGGCTTCATTCAGTAAAAGAAGCTTCTCTCCAACTCGACAAGAGTACGGTGGCTTGGTTAAAGATGACTTGGAACTGGACAGAACCAGCTTTGGTAGCAGATTCTCATATCCAGGGCAGCATGAAGCTGTGCAGACAGAAGGGAGCACCATCATTCCGTGTGAATTCTGTGGCATTGAGTTAGAAGAGGAGGTTCTCTTCCACCACCAGGTACAAAACTGTTCATGGATGGAATTTGAGTTGTGTCAGATCCAACTACTGGTAAATATTTTGATTGTGATAGTTCCCAGGGGTCCTCTTCTGAATACATCCCATCTCAAAACTAGTTGCGATTGGCACCCTAAGATGATAAAGGATTCTGGAGCTCTGATTAAAGAAAGAACAAGCATAAGAAATTTTACAGCGTGAAGAGAGCACATTCCTTGTATCTAAGCAGCTTCTGCAGCCATGCTTCTGCTCTTCCCCTGTAATACTGTCTGCAGGGTGACCATCTTTTGATATAGCTAAAAGAAGCCCCAGAGCCAGGATCTGAAAAATGTCAGAAGGCACTCGAGCCTACACCTCGGTGTACTTCGGAGAGCACTTGAAGATTATCTAGAAATTTGGTCCTCTTGGATATCTCTTCCAGGCTTGAGCTTCTGGACAGTGGGGGTAGCTGACAGTTGCTTCTAATGGGTCAAACAGATGACAGTTGTCTTAACTGGGAAATGTAAGTTTTTCTGCCACCAGCATGAGTTGTGGGTGGAAGATTAAGATTGGTTTTGCATAACTGAAAACCCTTCCTGGCTAACTTTCTCTCATGAAAAACTACTTGGTAAATGAAGGATTCTTAAATTGGTATGTAAACTGTTCTGCTCCAAAGAGTCTGCTAACCTTAGTTGGAAAGGCAAGCTGTACTGTATAAATGAGGAAGCGGGGAGGAAAGCTGAGCCAGGTTGCCCTAACTCTGGAAATCACTTTCCCTAGAAATGAATCCACTGCCATAAAGTGTCCCTCTAGCAACACTTTAGATGGGACATTTGTGTTACTTAATGCTTTAGCCACAGAGCAAGGTGGTGGTCCGCGCTGCAGAGGACTTTAGTTTTAAGATGGTCAGAAGTAAGCATGGAGCAAAAATTGGGGTAGCCAGGTGTGAAAGCACTTGATGCATACAAGCACTGGGCAAGTAGGAAAGGCTCAGACCTAATGGGGAACCTGAGAGGTGTGAAATGAAGACAGACACAAGGTGCAACTGGGATGACTGGGGAGGGTGAGGGAATGAGACCAACCTGTATTCTAGGTGTAGCTGAAGCCCACACAGACCACAAGCGGCAAGACGGAAGAGCTGTCTCCAGTGGTGAAGTGTTAAATTACATTTAAATCTGCCTCTTGCTTCAGGACCAATGTGATCTGTATCCAGTCTCTGCCAACCCCACACAAGGCTTGTTGCAGCACCCACTGCCTCCTAAAGAGAATCTGGAGAGGAGGGAATCACCAGAGCTGGCTAGAGACATGCGGCATCAAGGTATTGGCAAAGTACAGACCTTTGCTTTGCAGAAATTAGTCACTCTGCTCCTTACTCGTCTCCAAAATACAAATTTAATGCACCTTTTTGTGTTGGGTTTCCCATGGTGAACAGTGCCCGTAACTCAATTTCAAAGGACTCCAGCCTCCATTATAGTATGTATAAAATGTGTGTTAACCCCCAGCTTGTTCCAAATTGGCAAAGCTCTCTGTACACCTATAAAAAGAAATAAATTAAAAAATACTCTGATACTGACTTAATCTTATCCCTGTGTTTCTCACCCTTACCTGGTTTTTCAAACGGGCAGGAGTAAGGAAATTATTGGCTTACTGGCTTCTCCATTTTTAGGGACCAAGCTCAGTATTGTCATGGTTCAATTCCTGGTCTAGGAGACTCTCTCATCTCCTGTATCTTAAAATCTTGGCTATCACCTTAAAACCCAGCCTTGCTGTGGGAGGCAAAGGTTCACACCATAAGTACTTGCCAAGGTATCTTTACCTCTCGTTCTGGCGCGTGCCCTTTGTCTTGGTTGCCTATTTTATTGCTGTGCCGAATTAATTTTGGTTACATCCTTTCTCCTCCAGGAGAAGTTTCACCTCATTATTTAGAAGACATCGGGCAGCGGAAGCTTACCAATGCTGTGCGAGGGGAGAGATCGCTGAACAACCTGGCAGTTGCCCGGGACTTGCAGCTGACTTCTTCCAACACCATGAAGATGAATAATGCTCTGTCTCCAAGAATGAAGCCCAGCAACTTGGGTGGCAGTGAAGGAAGAATGAGGGGCAAAGGTACAGATGAATCCGCAGCTGCCCACGTTTCGGTCGTGCAACCCAGTCGGAACTTCCACCCGGAAAGCTACATGTCCAGTTTTTCAAGGGTGCCTCCAACTCTACCGAGGTAACTCGTCCGCATGGTGAAGTGGTGACAAGAACTCTTAGCTTGGCGTGGTTAATGGTGGGCAGATAACTGGTGGCATTGTGTGATCTGGCATTTGTGTTTAAGGATGAGGAGACAGTCTGAGGCCTGTTTCTAGCAATGCAGGTATCCACATGTGAGTGGGCAGAAGGGCGGTTGGAGAGGGCTTAGTTCACACTGAGCATCTCCCCTCCTGTGTCTTAGCCGATAGCTCCTCAATTTGATTTAGCTGCAGTTAAATGAGTAAAATGGTATGGACCCCAGGTTTGCTAAGGCACTCTTCAGGGGGGGAAAGGGGATTTGTCTAGTCATGCAGCTAGCACCTGTGTCTTGAACCCTTCCTTCTCTCAAGGGAGTGAGTAACCATGGTGGAGTCTCCAACAAACTCTTTTCTCCTTCAGCCAGCTGTAGCTTTTACACCTCCTTTGCTGGTCGGCCCAGCTTCCAGTCTACATAACCAACTTTTTTTGTTAGCTCAGTAGCTGAAGAGGGATTCATAGAGTCTAGATTTCATGTTCCAAGACTCAGCAATCTAGATATGGGAAGATGATGTGGTGTTGGGGATTTAGGAAGGAATCCTTCTCTCTCCAGAAGAACTGTGCTGGTGCCTCCTTAAACCAGCTCATACAACAGTGCTGAAATTGCAGATTTGCTTTATCTAACCAAGTCTTCTCTCCAGCAGCGTGAGGAATGAAGGAGGAAGGAGTCAGAGGATGCCCAATGTTCCTGGCCACTTCAGGAGCAGGAGCAGGAGCACAAAGGTAACTGTCCAAGCCGCCGTCCCACGATCTGACTATATACTTGCGTTTTAAACATGGCAAGTGCAGGTATGCAGCATTTAGCGTGCAGAAAGTGGCTGTTGACTTGTCCTCAGCACTCTTCTGTACTCCTGGGGGCAGAATGGGATGTTGGAGTACATCTGAGGGCATGAAGCAGCTGGTGTGAACATACTGCTGCTCTGGTGTTGACAGGAGCTAGGGTAGCTCTGACACCCTGTGGACGAGGTGGGGGGGAAGAACAAGTGCTTTGCCATAGTGAATAGACGTATCATACATGTTCCTTATCACTTCCTCTTGTCCACAGGTAAAACCCCAGACACCAGAGTCCAGCTGCCCCGAGGAGGAATAATGGCCCCTTGTCGGGGGCACGCCTAGCACTTGTAGCACTCTCACTATGCACTAACGTACCTATTTATCCCAGTGTGAGGACTCGCTGCATTGCTGCATCAGTGGAAAACTTTATATCCAATTTGAATCTTTATAGGCAGTGATCATTTTATAATTTTTTAAAGTTTGTGGAGTGGAATATATGGCCCCAGACCTGCTGTGTGGAGACAAGGGATCTAAGGTGGCTTGGGGCTTTTATTGCTGCTTTCTGTGGTCTAAACTGGCAATGTCTCAAGCCAGCTGAGACTTCCCCGGGAAGGGACTAACCTGTTATTGCAGCTGCTTGTCTGACATGTAGTAAGTGGAGCCTTCTTTTTAATATGGTAACCCTGGATTTAGTAGTTAGTGACAAATAATGCATCGCTGCCTTCAAGGCAAAGTGATAATGACTAGCATTACAAACCCCAAACCTGTTAAACACCTGAGCTACTCCAGGGGAAGAGAATGCTGTAGTACATTTCAGCAGTTGGATGTTGTCTGACTTGGGGACACTACTTCTCTGTAAAGAGCAGTGGATCTCGGTGATTATTTTCACTAAGGTCTGGGATAGGGGTGAGCTTAGTGTCTTGGCTTTAAACCTATTCCATCTGTTACAGGTGGTAGTTGGGAAATAGTTCTCTATTGCATCTGACTGCAGTTAAACCTTTTTTCCTCTAAGCTTTCTACCATCATCCTGTCATAACCATCCTCTGATTTGCTTAGGAAAAGCCATACCAGTTGTAATCATGGTGTGTTTGTGCCTGTGTCCCTATATGTCTGTCTGATACCACAAGTGCCCAATATTCCTCGAGGCGTTTGCCAGCGGGATTGTGACCCTCCACAGAGGAGATCCAGGCCTAGTTTTCCATTCTCTCGGCTGCTTTTATTTTTGGCTATCTTCGAGCCTTTACTTTTTAAAAACTCCTTGGAATAAAATTTGTATGTGTTAATGACTTGTGCTGGTTGCGTGGAATTGTTCCGTTCCCCACGTTGAAAAGGGAAACCTCTGCCGCAGGGTGAGGCTGCTGTGTGTCAGGGAATTGCTCACGCCCAATACACTCTCCTTCCTGGCTTCTCTTGTTCTGATTGTGCACCATGTTTCTTCTGCCTGGGAAGTGAAAACTTGAAATCAGTGGGTGGCTGGCATCAAAGCTGCTTCCTTCTCCCAGGGCTGGTGGGGTGATTAAAATCACGCCTTCACTCTGCTCACATCCCCCTTTTCTAAAGTTTGCCAGAAATTCTTGAGCTGACCTGCTGAGCAGTTCAGGGTGAAAGCCCAGAGCCAGGGAAGAAACTAAAGTGAGAAGAGGAGATGCAGGGATAGTAGAAAGCTGGTCTTATTAAGCGTGGGGACAGCTTCGCCTCTCTTCTGCCTGGATCATGGCCTGTGTGGACACCTGTGAACTTCCTTTTTGAGATTCAAGCCCTTTAGGATCAGGAACAACAGAAGCTTTGAACAATGTTGGTCGTGACGGGAACTGTCCAGGTTCTCCTCAGTAACAAAGTGAAAAGAAAGCTGAGGGTAAGTGAGGGAAGAGCCACTTGCAAGAAGTTGAGGTCGGGGATGGTGATGGAGGGGTACCAAATGTACGGAACAGTAAAACTGCTGGTCTCCAACAGTAATGGAAACAGGCAGCTGAAAAGTGGACAGACAGTCACTTGAACTGCTGTTAGCAAGACATGAGCTAGCTTCCAGCAATGCTATCCTGCTCAGGTTAGAAATGAGCTGCTGAATTCCAGATCGACTGACTAGCTGAACCGCAGCAGGGACTTGGCAAGTCCATTTTTCAGCAGAGGAGTGGAGAGCAGTGCCAAGGTAAGAGAGCGAGCTATAAGAATACAACTTCGTTCAGTTCTGAGTGGGAAGGTCTGCTTATTACATGATGATCACACCTGTGCTAGCACTAATTTAGCTGGAACAGGTACCAGCAGGACCAGCAAAGGAGTTCTTGTGTTAACAAGTTGAATTTATATTGTAATGACATCTTGGTTAGGAGCCTTGTGCTATCTCCCTAGGCTCTAGGAGGAGGAAGCTATTAACAGGAGTGCTGTTGCATTGACAAGGGAAGCGGCACTTAAGCTGCCAACATTTCATTTTGAGATGATCACAAAACATTACTTTTTCAAGTAGATCAGAGAAAGTTGGATAGCTTGAGAGAAAAATCACTTTGCTTTTGTCGAGACACAGTCCTTAGCCAATAGTCACAGTCAGAAGGGGTCTGAAGAAACCAATTGTCTTTTAATGAGTAAGAACATTATAGCATTCAGGATTGCTTGGCGGTGGCCTACGTTTCCCTTGTCTTTGCTGCGCAGTGGTGGGGAAGCAGGAAAAGTGATGTTTAGTTCCACTTTTAATCTGCGTTTGGACAGGTCTGGGTGTAAAGTGCAGCAGAGGCTGAACGTGCAAATCAAGCTGGCAGTGCCACTAAGAGGATCTCAGGTTTAACAAAGAAAACATTTTAAGGACGCTTCCACCAAATGTAAGCATTTATTAAATACAAGAAAAAAAATCAGAATAAAGGTATTAAACAAATGGCGATCAACTTTGCAATGGTATTTCCTGGGGAAAAACGCTACAGCAAGTTGAGTGGGAAAGCTAGGGCTGTGCTGCTTTTCTGAGGGTCAAGAGGATACCTCATCTGAGAAACTCTTAGTGTGAAAATAGAATAAATTAAGTACAGTTGCTCAGCTGACAGCTTTGGGTTGTGTGCACCATTTCTCGTGCAAGAGAAATGGGAGCGATCATTTTACTTGCTGTTTCCCTTTTGTACAAAATATTTACATCTGTTGCAAGTAAATACAAAGAATTACAATGTCTTAACCCATCAGTGCGGGATTCAAAGCAAGTAGCCTGCACCTGGCTCCTAGTAGGTTAGCTCTCTGGATGGATGCCGTTTCAACGGCAAGAGAGGGGTGTTCGTTTCCAGCCCCAATTAATAAGGACACAGAATACATCTCGAGGGATGTTAATCTTCTTTTATGCAAGTGTACACTGTATGGCCAAGAGCACTTAACAGGTTAATGCTGTGCAAGGTACCGAGATGGACACGACAGACTAGAACTAATACCCGACTTCTGCATTTTCCATTGTTTAGTGTAATTTTACATTCTGAATGAGTACCCGAATAAATGAACACACACACACCAAGGCTGGCTTTGAAGGACAAGCTTACTACAGATAACGTTCAGTTCATTCAAAGCGCAGGAAAGTGATGATGGTTAGAAAAAGCTTTAATTCAAGGCCATTGGGCTACAGTCCAAACCACTGCAGCGCGTCACTCCAGGAACATTCTTTACACCGACTCTTTCCCAAGGGATCACACCACTCTCCAAGTACAGCAGAAGTAGATGGCTCTGGATTATTGTCATCACATGTTTTTTTTCCTGTAGTAACGAGCTTCACTTACACAAACGGGGTGTAAAGAGCAGAGGAAAAATTTGTTACTTGCAACCATAAATAATCGTAATAAATACGTATCAAATAACTACAGCACACGCTTTCAGGGCCAAGATGGGGTATGTTTTACCCAGATGTGCTCTCTGGAAGGAGAAGAAATGTTAGCAGCAGTTGTCTTACTCACAGCTGGGATCAGATCCTAGGAAAGGATTGGAATAGGGAGTTCTCACACCCCTCACCGTGAGGTATTTGACAAAGTTTTACGCCTGCTAGGTTAAGGTCTTGAAAAGAGAAGAGAGCCATGAAACCCATACAAAACCAGTGTTCAAAAGAAAACCAAACCATCTCATCACCAGCAGCTTCTGTGAAGCTCCAAAGACATTCTTCACATTCCTCCTACTCGGCAAGTTTGACTTTTTGGACTGGAATTCAGTTGTTTCAAGCAATTTCTTTTGCTTTGTCTTCCCTTGGTCTCTGTAAACTCTACATGTGTTTGCCCTTGCTCTGAATGATATTTCAGCTACATATATGCTTCTATCAGAAAGTGGACAAAATTCAAGAGTAAATATTATTCCTACGGGGAACTGTTTCTTGGGGAGGGAGATGTGTTATAAAATGGAAACGCGGTTTTTCTAACAATAGGATCTGGAGCCTTTGTATGCCAACAACTACTTCTACAACAGGGTCTCTCTCACACACCTGTCCACTCACTCACAGAACAACAGGAAAAGATGCTTTTAGGGCTCTCCTTGTTTGCACACAGTACCCTCCAGTCACCACACGCTCGTCACTCCCACTATTCACAATAATATACAATAAATACAGCATTTCAATTCCCATGACCACGGACAAGCCAAACAACGAGTGTAGTCTGTCTTCTAACGAGACATGTATATTAACCACCTTAAAGTACAGTCACGCACACAGTCACGGATCTCGATGTGGTTAGATGTGCACCGGACGCACCTGAAGGAAATAACTAACGCGAAGCTCAGTACTGGCACTTAACGGACAGTAGTACGGAGCTCAGGACAGCAGTCACGTCAATGTCCTCTCCGGTTCTCCAGCTTGTTCATTGGAGTCCAGTTCAAAATGGTGGAACCAAGTGTCACTTTGTTTCTAAATGCACCTGGCACAGGGCAAAGTTTTTTGCATTAGTAAAGGAAGATACGTGTGCTGTTCTTTACCACTGCAGAACGTATTTCACAACGTATGATACATACAATGGTTTAACATAAAGGATCGTTACCTCTCTTTGCCTTTATCTTTCCATATAAAATAGAAGCTCTATTCTTCAAACCAGCACCTTTGTGCCTCCCGTTCCCACCCTAGCCCACCCCGTTCTGTGTCACATTTTTTAGGATAATTTATTTTAGCTACAACATTTCTGAATACAAAAACAAAATGGGGGGCCTGCAACTCAGGTTCTGATTACAGGGAAAGGCTGCGGAGAAAGTTACATCCTTCCATAATGCCACAGAGAATTAAGGATCACTGAAGAAATTCGTGCGTTAAGTGGTTGAATATAAAGGCAAGAACATCTTGGTTAGGGACCTCATGGTCCTTCCACTGTCCTGCGTTTTGGAAGAGGAATGTTTCAAAAGAAGACTACGTCAGTTGTGGAGGGGATGCCAATGACTTTGGGTTCTACCGAAACAGACTTAAGAACTTTTTGCAAAATGTAAACATTGGCAACAGAAAACCTGTTACCAAATGGCATAACCCAAGAGAAGGCTAAACGTTGCCTCTATCCACTTCAGAAAGCAAACCCTCGAAACCTGGAAACGAGAGGTAATGTTCCAACGTTGTGGAAAGGAGGCAGCTGCTTCTCTTCAGTTAATCCTGTTCTTGTACTCAGAAATGTTTCAGGGCAGAAAGATTCGCAGACATTTACATCTGAGCTCTCGCGACCTCAGAGTGCTCAAGTTTGTTGTGTTCGCAAGGGCAACACAATTTAAATTACAAAATTAGAAATGTACATGTTTAAAGGTTTGTTTTTTTAAATTAAATTATACAACAAACTGGTCATTACTAAACTATCCTACAAATATTCCACAAACAAGGCAGCAAAATAACGAGTCCACCACAAAATCTACAAATACAAAAAATGTAAGTCTTCCAGTAATTACTGTAATGGGAACAAAAGTTCAGAAAATAAATTAGCCTCCAATTCTTCACATAGTGTCACAGGAGGTATTTGCATGTGAATCGAAGGGTTTCCAACACAGCAGAGTCCCGAAACAATCCTCCAAGGAGTCATTCTTAGTCTTGGTCTTACTCAACTCAGCCGCTAAGCGGATCCTCCCGGTAGTGAATGGCATACCGTAGCTTTTCCAGCATTATGTCCAGAGAGGAGTACTGAGGGAGTTTTATCATGAACATGCACGTTTCAACGCGGATATATCGAGAGTCCGGAGACCCTGGAAAGGAACCACAGGGACATCCAGTAACACACTACACTTTTACTTTGTATCCACACTTCATTTTCCAAGGATGTCAATTTTTACTGTGGAACCTTAGCTGACATCAAAGGAATAGGATCCCTGTCAGGTTTTGGTGGGTCTCACACTAACAGGCTCATTGGAATTTATGCCCGGGGGGTCCAATGTTTAATTGACAGTGGCAAGTCTAGAAGCACAGCAAACTGCAGCAGTTTGAATCTCCCCACGCTCCTTCCCTCTGCCATTCCGGCTCTGTAGCTATACAAAGCCAAACTGTGGGTTATTCTGGATCTTTAAAAGCTATTTTATTTCCTTCAAATATCTTATAGAGCACAGTGGGGGGCCAACCCATGGCATGGCAGATCAGGGAGGGGACAGGCAGCACAGCAGCAGATTGGACAGAGGAAGGAGATCAGAGTGGCACCTAGAGCACAGCTTACAAGCAGCAGTATAGCCTCTTGCCCTAGTTATAACCATATCCCACACCGTTACTGTGCTTTCATTCTTCTGAGTAAGGAAGGATTTTTTTCCCTTTACAAAAGCAATAAGGACTGAAGAGAAAACTCAAGCACAGCTACATCCTTTACATGCCAACCACCAACTGGCCTACCTGCAGCTCCATCCGGTGGTGCAATCTTCATGGGGTAGGGCGGGACATGTGCAGTGTCAGGCCCTCCATCTTTGCATGGACATGTGAAGGGGATTCGCTCTTGGTTGCAGGCAAATTTGATGAATTTGCAGAGTTCTTCCTGAGTAAACATCTCTAATGCCCCCCAGAAAAACTCAATGTGTTGGTCTGTTTCCATCAGCCCCACCTGGTACATGGTATGTGCCTAGGAGACAGAGAATGGAATTAGATGCAGAGGGGAAGGACATGATGCCCACTGCCTTCTCCCTCAAATGCTTCCATCACTTTCTTGTAAAGGAAGATGAGATCATGGAGATGATACTCCCTTCACCCTCCTGGTAGCCTGACCCAGTTTCCACAGTCTCACGCACCCATAAAAAGTCAATCACTCAACCTGGTGCATGGTGGACAGTCAGACACCACCCTGAGCTTTGGTTTGGCCACCCTATTTCAGTCCACACCAGGCTGCTCTGTGCAGTCTCCATGGACTGCTTTTAATACACTGGCCAGCCGCAGTTCCAGACTGCTGCTACAGCAAGGCAAACATGTTTGGAAAGGTGACCTTTTTTAATACAGGTGGCTAGCAGTACTGAACAACCCAGCAGGCTGCAAACAGTTCCTCACCGTGTAAAATGAAAGGCCAAAGCTAAGTACAAGTGCAAGCGGTCTCTCCCTGGGCCGGCCTCCCTTGGGGAAAAGTCCCACCAGCACACTGCTTGATGTGGACTGACCAGGTCCACGTCAGTACTTGGTACCTTTAGGAACTCCAGGTTGATGTATGGTAGCCCGCAGGTCCTCAGTTCCATCTCGAGAGGTGTCAGCGTAGTGAGAAGCTGCAGAGGGATAATGGAGCCAAGCCCAGCACGCACGGCCGTCATGCAGTCTGGATTCTGCAGCTCGTGCACCCGCAGGTTCCGGATGGCCGTTGCATACACGTCCTTGTTCTCCCACCTGGCAGGAAGAGGACAGTCTGCCTAAGAGGGAGCATCTTGCTCTGTACACAGCCCCGTGCATGGTTTTCCTGACACATTCACAAGGAGCCATCCCTTCCTAAGTTACCCCAGGTCCATCAACACTTCTTGTCTTCACGCCTCCCCCTGTCTGCATCCCCAGCACTGCAGCTTTCCCCATGTCACCACTGTTTGGCTTCCTGGTCAAAGCATCATTTTGTGTCCCTTTACCCATGTGCAGCGACCTGCCATGAAAGGTTCTACTTACGCTACAGGAATGTGCCTGCCTCGAGGGCACAGCTCCACCTCTTCGCTTGTCATGGTCAGGTAGGTGAATTTGCAGCATGGCTTGTTAGGGCAATCGGGGCTCTCGGTGGCTAGATGCTGGGATGCGATTTCTGCACACAAGGCCTCCAGTTCTGTCTCATCATTTATCTAGGACAACATGAGAAAAAGCATCACCTTAGCTCTTCAGAAGTCGCGCCAAGGGAGTGAGTACAACTGCCCAATCCTATCATCTGAGAACAACGCCACAGGCAGTATTGGGTAACCTGTGCTTTTGGCAGGGGCATGCCTGGGCCCCAGGTCAGAGTTAAGAGTCTAATCTAGCTAATGCATCTCTGTCTGTTCAAAGGCCTGC